TCCGCTGCTGTCGACCGTCTACCGCGGTGCTTCCCGCGTGTGCCGTGGCCCGCCTCTCCACACAGCGCTCTGAAGACTCTCCACACGACCGCACACGACCGCCCTCCCCCCGCCCTGACGTCGGCGCTCTCCAGCGGTGTACGACCTGCTGCTCTTCGACCCCGCCCGCTCGGCGCCGCACGCGCTCAAGGTCTACCTGCGCAATGCGGCCGAGGCGTGGCCCGCGACGAGGGACGCGATCGAGCGGCGGGCGGCGCCGCCGGGCGGGCAGCCGCGCAGCGCCGGCGAGGGGGGGAGCATGGAGGCGGCGGCGGAGGAGGAGGCGCTGCGGCTGCTGCACGCGCACGAGTACGACGGCAGCCTCGCCCTCGAGGCGGTCGCGGCGGCGGCGCCGCCGCCGTCGCGCGCGCCGTGGACCGCGGCGCAGGTGCTCTCCTTCGACTCGGGCCTGCTCTCCCACGGCAAGAACTTCTCGCTGATCGCGCAGTCCGTCGGCCGGCCGATGTCCGACATCGTGCGCCGCTACTACGAGCGTAAGTGCCGCACCGAGGTCCGGCGAGGCGAGCCGCGCTAGAAGCCGAGTGCGACGTCGTGTCTCCCAGCCAGCGCTCGAGAGGACACACGCGCCCCGCTGCACTCCGCCATACCCCGCTGCACTCAGCCGCCGCACTCCGCTGCGTCGGCCTCCTCCGTCTTCACGCGGTGCTCTGAATACACTGCGCAGTACCGCCCTCATGCCGGCGTCACTCACAGCGCAGGCGAGCTGCCCTGCTTCCTCTCGGCGACGCCCATCTCGGCGCGGCGCGCGCTGCGCGAGGAGCGCGAGGCGGCGGCGCTGCTCGCCGCGCAGCAGCGGCCCGCCATCTTCCCGCCGCCGCAGCGGCACGCGATGCACCATTTGGGCCGGATGGCGCCGTCGCCGTGGAACCCAATCGTCGGACCAGGCGCCGCACGCCCCGCCCTCCCGCCCGCCGCCGCCCGCACCCGTGGCCGGCTCGGAGGGTGTCTGTGGCGTGGCGCCTCTGCAACCCTTCCCCCTTC